AGAGAGAGAGAGAGAGAGAGAGAGAGAGAGAGAGAGAGAGAGAGAGAGAGAATCACTCAGGAATGCATTCTGGAGAAGGAACTGGAAATACAGGTTTCAAGAATTCGCACATGCATTCGAATATCCAGCGAGGATTTAGCTATTAAGAGCGGAAGGGAGGGGGGGGGATTGTTTCTCCGGTTGTCTTTTTGAAATAATAACCCGCTGAGAGCTTTTAGATAATCAGTGTATTTTTGTCTGCCTTATATCAGAGATCGTCGTCTAGAGATAAACACAAAGACAAAAAAAAGTCGAAATTCGAAAGTTTGATAAGACCATCCGTGGAATCTTCTGAAATAAACGTTTCAGAAAACTGTTGTGATGTGGTCGTGTGCGTGATGGTGATTCGGACTCCTCTTGTGCTAAGAGAACATGTGCATGACAAATGTGTTATTATCTTTTGAGAGAGGAGGAGAGGGGGTGATCTGCATGTAGGAGAAGAGGTGTCTGAGAAGAAGATACTAGAAGAAGAGCTGGGAGATGAAGTGGAAAGAGGTCTAGGGGGAGGAGATAAAGATGAGTCATAGAAGAAGAGGAAAGAGCAACTATCTCAGGGAGTTCTTATCTGTGAATTCGATTGTTTACACTTTGCTGCCACTAGTTATCCCATATGGATACAGATTTGGGTTTGAATGTGCTCTAAAACATACAACAAAAGAAAAGATATTTAAGTGACCAAAAATGAATGGAAGGGATCTAAAGATAGGGAGTAACAACAGAAAGGGATAGTGGTTCCTGTAATGTTGACCATGAGTTTGTGTTGCTCACTCTTCCTTGTTCAGTGAGCAACAGAGACAGGAGAGAGGTTGTTTTCTTTCTTTTGTTGTTGCTTTTTTGTTGCTTTTTTCAGGGGGGGGTGCTTTTGTTTGTTTTGTTTGTTTTTTTGTTTTTTGTTGTGTGTGTTTTTTTGTGAGCCTGACGCACCTACCCCAACCTCTTGCGAGACCCCGGCGGGTGGTTTTTGAAGGGGAGCCGCTCTTTGTGGGGTTTGGGATTTCTGTTATTCCTTACACTGGTCCTTCTGCTGACAGCAGATAGGCATAAACATTAGCTTGATAGAAAATAAAAAGTATGGAAAAAAGCTATGTCAGAGAAGCAATGGGGCAGAATGGAAGGCACCCAGAGCTGTGGGCTGGCGGGAGTAGGTGCTATAAAATTATCTACAGCAGCATCAGTTGTTTGGTTTTTGTTGTTTTTTTAATAGTAGAAGGTTTTACGGCGCTCGCAACTGCATAAGGTCATATGAACGCCAAGGGGTGGGTGTCAACAGAGAAGTCTTTACAGGGAATTGGACTTACTCTGCTCACCTCTCTAGCTTCAACAGCACAAGGTCTGCTTCGACTATCAAGGCACCCCGGAAATAGCAGGTCACAAGAGAGTGACAAACATGCAAAAGAAGTAGAGGAAAATGACAATAGTAAGGATTAGGAAAGAAAAAGCAGCAGTTCCCTGTTGTTGATCAGGCACAGTTATGAGCGTGACATGAATCAGCCCATTTACAATTCTACAGTGCTTGAACGAGAAATGTCCCCCCTTTGGGAATGGCCTAAAGACACTACAGTCAGTGGCACTGCCCTGGGGGGTTCAGCATCAGTAGAAGCAGCGACAGCAGTACAACAGCAAAGATGTTGAGCCCCCTTTTGATGGA